GTAAGCCATGCATTTCTCCCTCTTTGGCTAGGGCCACATCCAAGATCCCAATCTCACTCTCAGCTGTGAAAGAGCCTGTGACTCAGCCATCCGCTCAGGTGGCTGCCTTGGCCAGGACAGGGGGAGAAAGTTGCCACTTCCGACCAGGGAGCTCAGATGCCTGCACAGCAGCCGTGAAGGACGAAAGCCGGGATGCACAAGCTGGACCTTTCTGTCATTGTCACTCCCAGCTTTGCAGTTCACAGTTTAGCAGGCATACCTCAAATTTAGCATGGGGGTGACGTGTATTTGGGGGCTCTTGGGGAAGAAGGCGCTACTTTCTCAGACCCCAATCAGGGACTGGGGGGGGGGCTGTTACTCCTTTTCTCCAGCGTCCAGAATGTCCAGTGATTATTCATTTAGGATATTTGTCATAATTCACTGCTGTGGTTCTGAAGAGAAAGAGGGCTTGCTGCTGTCCGAAAAGGGAGCGCAGAAGCCCATCCCACCCCCTGCCGGTGCCCTGGAGATGGTTGCTGTGGCCAAGCCTGCACAGGGCCCTGGGAATGCCTTGGCGGGGTGGGGCGTCAAGACCCTCTGGAACGTGCACAGAAGAGGCCGGCTATCGTTCCAGGGGAGGCTGCCACCAAGCGGGACCAAACCCCTGCACATCGCTACCTGGAAGCGACCTCCTGTCCCATGCAAACTGTACTGCAAAAGGCCAGTTAAAGATCCCTAGGTCTTGGTTTCACACCTCAGCAATGTCCAAGGCAGGGCATCCTGCAGAGCAAGCGCCTGAGGTAGGTGCCCTGCCTGGCATGGCAGGATGAAGGGGGAAGCCCAGCCCGCCCGGATCCCTCCGAGGGTCATCCACCAAAGCTTCTGCTTTTGCTCCCCCAGGTTGGACTCACCTCTCATTAATGCCATTTGCTCTTCCATCAATGGCACGGGGGGTGGGGGGGAGAATCCTGCCACCCCTCACCCCCACAAGAAATAGCCTTCCCTGTTCTGAAGAGAACGGAAGAACTCTCATTGCCTGCACGGTTCCCAAGTGGGCTTCGCAAAATCAGATCAACTGCTTTTCTGCTCTTCTTTGGCTGTTCCTTCACATATCCACATAAAAAGTGGAAAATTGGTTGATAACTCAACACGTGGGTTTTACAATACTGGCATTCTCCTGCACCACATTTTAGAAAGGTGCAGGGGCAGAAGAACCCCTCTAAGAAGGGTTTTAGATGCAAGACACAAACACGTGCAGGCCAGCCCTGACGGAGGAAGGCTGGGATAGAAACGCTTGACTTCCCTGTTGCCATCTCAGTGGACTCCTGGCTCAAAATCTTGCTGACACTGCTGCAATTAAGCATGAGGGTACTTGGATTCACCCACTCTCGGGAAGCAAGAGCGACACAAACTGCCTTCGAGTCCCATCAGGCTTACAAAGTAAATGACACCTGCTGCTTATTTTGAGGGAGTTCAGCCTCCAGTGATTATACTTCGTTTTGCTCTTAGTTTTCTGTTCCTTGTAAGCTGTCCAGATACTTTTTTGTAAAGGGCGGCAGAGAAAAATTTTAAATAAAAACAATAAGTAAACAAATTCCTGTTGTTCTGAAGAGAAGGAAGGAAGCAGGGTAATTTCCAGGGAGGAAGGTTGAAATACAGACCAATATCTCTTGGAGAATATGAGGTTGGATGCAGGGGCTGAGGATGCTAAAGGAAGCAGGAGCTGGAAGTGCAGCTGCCTGGCTTTCACTGGAGGAAAATTTTAGTGCTAGGAATGAAGGAAGGAGATGGTTTGTCCTCGTGGGCCAACCGGGGGAAAACAAATCAGTCACAAAGGGAAGCCCCTCTCATTCCTCACACTTAAGGGTGAGCAGCAAGGCCTCAAAATGCTTTTCCGGGTCGGGAGGGGGCACAGGGAGGCCGAAGGTCTAAGAGACCCTTCATCTGTTCCACCAGGCATGGACAGCCTCTTCCACCTTGGACAGTCCACCATTTCTCCGCCTGGAGGGGGGACCTGAATCGGGAAATGCCAGCACTTTCGGGCTCAGCAAAGAGGAAGAGAGGGCCAGCCCGTCCTTCGCAGGGCCCACCAATCCTTCGGGCATCAGCCAGGATCAATTCCCCCCTAATCGTAGCTCTAAACCTGGTGCAGGCCGGGGAGGTTTTCGCCTCAGTTCCCATGAGAACCAACCACTGGGAGGCACATTCCTGTTGGAGCTGAAGTCCCTGGCAGCACAGTAATACTCAGCCTCATCTTCAGCCTGGACGTTGGTGATGGTTAAATAGTTGGGGCTCCCAGAGCTGGACTCCGGGAACCGATCCGGGATGCCTTCTCCCCTGCTGCTTCCATACAGCACGAACTGGGGACGCTGCCCAGGCGGCTGTCGGTACCAGCTGAAATAGTTCCAGCTGCCGCCACCACTTCCAGTGCAGGGGAGTTGGACGGTTTGCCCCGGAGACACGGACTGGGGAGGAGGCTGAGTGAGGAGGTTTTCTGCAGTGCAACCTGGGCACAATGGGAGGAAAATGCTGTTAATCGCTTCTCAAACTCTCCAGTCCTGGAAAAGCCTGAATGTCCTGTGAAATGCACATGCACTGCACTTC